GACGTATACAACAATGGCTTCCCATTGGTAGAGAAACCTAATTATTGGCCTACATACAACAAGGAAATAGTATGGCACAACGATCAAATGTGAAGGAATAAAAAGGGTCATCCCAAAAGAAAGTGTACCACAAATGAAATGGACTCCCTTGACAAGCTAGAAAGAAAGTGTTGTTTATGTCATCAGGTCGGACACAATCGAAAAAATTGTCCCACTCGGGCTACAAGCTCGACAACATAAAAGTTGTATGCAAACCATCTGGACTTTTTTAAGTTCTAGACATTATTGTTTTTAATTAAGAGCGTTTGTTACAACAAACCATATGCAAGAAACAACTAAAAACACGATAAAATGTCTAAGAAATTACAATCGTCAAAATAATTTCATCTGAGCCATACATCATCACCATTACGTCTCCGTCTTTTCTGACTTCCTCCAACCAAAAATTAGGTCTTCCAGTTGCAAGTGAGGTGGATATTCTTCTTCTCTAGATCCTTCTAATTTTTTCCCCAGCCTCAATGTCTCCCTCTATCCATCACACCAAATCTCTCTTCAGACGCTCCATAGAGTGAATGTACCAAAATTTCATTTTCATCGGAGGTTTTGTGGCCGAGAAAATAATGTACCCATCTCTGGTGAAAATCATAGGAGATGTCATGATGCAAATAACAGAGAAAAAAAAAGAAGACGATGCAAGAAAGCGTGACTAACGATGGAGAAATGGGTGGTTTATTTATAGAAAACACAATTGCACGTAGTAGCCAAGTGAGATAGCGTCTCCTCTCCTTTTTATAGTGCACGTGTGTTGTACCCCAAAATTTGCCCTCTCATTTCTCAAGGATTCTCTCACAAGGTCTTCTATGACACCAGGTCTGCAGTACTGACACATCAATTTAGGCTTGGAATTGGCACAAGGGCAAAATGGTCATTTGCACACTGAAAAGTCAAACTTTGACTTTTTATCAAAATCATGTTTGAAGAATCATATTTCATCAAGACATGTTGGAATGTTAAATTTGTTTCATCAAGATATTCAAAAGTCAGATTTACTTTGGAAAAGTCAAATCTCTAAATACTTAGAATTTTTCTAAGTGTTTAAGAAATATGACAAGCTCAGAACTTCTGATTAGATTATCACCATGATGCAAGCTGATTCTGGAAGAATTTATAACACAAGAGTTTTATATCACAATAAAACCTAAAATATTGCAGAACAGAACTTCTCCTAGAAATGCTGGAATTTCAAGTTATAAATGTTCAAAGACACGCCCACGAAACTGAAACACTCAAACAAATTTTGGACACTTTGAAGACAGATTTTGGTTAGAACTTCTGGGCCAATTTTCACAAACGTTCAGCCAGAGTTTGCAAAAGTAATTCAAAGAAAGTCTACAAAGCGTGTCACAAACTTTCAGAAAAGTCTGAGAACTCCTTCAGAACATGCTGGAGCAAGAAGATTAAAGGATCATAAGTTGGATGTTTTGTTCTAAGTTGCGCTGATGCTGAACTTCTAGCTCAGATCTAAGCTATGATGCATAATCTCATAGTGCAGGATTTCTGTTTTGATAAATCTCATCATCATTTAATACTCACAACCACTTTTGAGTTTTTATCCAAAGGATTTCCCCACGTGTGAGAAAGAAGTATCATTGTTGTTCTTGAAAAGTAAACTTTTGTACAAGTTTATGCTGGACCCATGCTTTACTTTTGCCTCTGAGGGTACTTTTCCTTAATTCATGCTTACAAATCCAGCTTAGGCACGACTAAAAGCTGTTAACCTTACTTGTTTGAACTTGCTTCAAGAACAAGTCAGCGCCTAGTGTATGATGGATGTACTTTTGACTTCTCCAAGCTACAAAGTTCTTGCATATAAATTGAACTTCATTGACAACTATGAAGGGGGCTGGAAGAAAAAAATTGAAGGAGAAAAACTTGAAACCTTGCTAAAATTCCCAGAAATCCTAAACTGCAAACACAAACACAAAACCTGCTAGTTTTTTATTCTTGTATTCAAACTCCAACTTTTCTCAAAGTGTTTCTTGACCAAATCATCCATTCACCATTCATAAACCAAGCCAAAGGTTGTTCTAGCCTACTGAGCACGCGAGGAAGCTGATCAAAACATTACAAGCAGTCAGAACCAGGCTCCAGCTCATAGAACATTTTTCAGCGACAAGGTAAGCTTTTGCTAACCCTCATCATATCACTTAAGCATTGTTAGGCTTGCATGTTGAAAAACACAATGTAGACATCTTGATTTTGATGTTGTACATATTATGAAGTTTCATGTATTTTTCTGCCTAAATAGGGAGAATATCAGTTCAGAATTTTCTAAGGAAATTAGGATTAACAGATACATGCTTGTTTCTGATTTACAGTCTTGATATTTTTTGTGCTTCTGAAACCATGATGGAAAACCTGCCATAATTGCTATGTTTATGTTTTCTGTTCTGTTGAGAAATGACTAAGTTGCAGATGTTCTGATTAGCATGGAGAAAGAGACGAAGCTCATCATCATAACTTACTTTATGTTATATGTTCATGCTCTTGCTTCTAATACCAGATGTACAGCCACTCCAGTGGTAGAAAGCTTGGGCATAAGACATTAGTTCCAAGGGTCCTGGGTTCTAGCCCCAGAAGCATCTCTTTTTAGGTTTATTTATTGATATTTTTCACCCATTTATCTGGCAAACAACATTCTTAAATCAGAACTTCTAAACAACCTTACCCAACAGCATTGCCACCTCTCTCTCTCAAATGGCCAAACTTCTGACTTGCCAGTGATATAGGAACTTCTAGGTTCCCAACTACACTATAACTTCGGAACCCCTTCAATAATCAGAACTTCTAGATCTTCCTTTATTCCCAACAACCTCAGAACTTGGTGTGCCCAGGCCCAGAACTTCTGACCTTCTGCTTGCCTACTAACATTTTCTCTCTTGCAGCGTATCAGAATCAGAACTTCTGTTCCTCCTCGTTTCAACAATGTGCTGATTCTGACTCCATTTTCTTGTTTATCTTATTTTTTGCCTTTAATAACCAAAAACACCAAAAAAATATTTCATATTCACATGTTTTATTTCATTTCTTTTAGAACAAAAAGATCAAAAATATTTTCTTAAGTAAATTAATTTCCTAACAAAAATAAAACAAGTCCCTTTTACATTTCTTGTATATTATTTCAATATGATTGTAATAGATAATTAGGACTTTAATTTCTTGCAATCCTCATTCATAAATTTGTATCTCCATCCCTTAAAGCTTTGTAATAGCTTAGTATTTTTATTTTCCAAAATTTAATGCTTTATGTACCAATTGCTAGTAATTAGGATTTATATGGAAATATTAAAACCAACAAATAGCAAACTCTAATCAAGATAAATCATGCATGTAAATCAATACACTTGCACACTAGCACCCCTAGGATAAACCCACTATGTTGCCTTACAAAATAGCCATATTAGGTATGTGAGGTATCTTAGCAAAAACAAGCAAATACAAGATCATAGTCCCTCGATGACGCTATCAAAAGTTGCCTTTCAAAATGATCTTAGTCCCTAAAGAGAAATGCTAAGATACCTTGCAACATTACTAATCATGGTTATACGATGACCCACGCCCGTCCCTTTTACATCCAAAGATAGGGTTACTTGCCAAATGAATGGTAAGATAACAATGTCAAAGGAAAGGGAAATAAACATGAAAGACTTTTGAGTAGGTAGATTGTTCCTAGTTACTTGCTCCATTTTTCAAACCAAAACATCCTTACTATTTTCAAAACAAACACCAACACTTTCAAAACATCTTTCAAACTTGAAACAATTTCAAAAGATCAACACTTTGTATACATTCTTACGAACGAGAATCATTACAAAGTTTACCTAAACGATGGTGCCTTTTTAAAACACTCTCAAAAGCCACACAAAGCACATTTTCAAACAAAAGCAAGTGATCTAGCAAGTAACTAAGAGCCCATGGAAAACCATGGATGAAAAGGGTGTTAATACCTTCCCTTTTTATATTCTACCTCCCGAACTAAAGAAACAATCTCAAAGGTCTTTCCTGTGATTTTTCACCTTTCCTTTTAGATAAAAGAAAAGTCGGTTGCGACTCTTGCTAACCGCAACATTTGCGATAAAACGCAAAACAACCAAGTCAGTTCTTCCACCGCATCACAACGTGCCATCTCACTTGACTAAAACAAAGTGCATGCGCCAAGTGAGATGGCGCCTAGGATAAAAAAGTCACTGCATGCGCCAACTCAGTTGGCTCCTCCATTGTAGAATTTTCTAAAACATAGTTATTTACGTAATTTTCTCTGAAACATGGTTATTTGTGTATTTTTTTCAATACTTGGTTATTACTATAAAAAAATCAAAGTTTTCAGCACTTAAAAATTCATATATGTTTTATTAGTTAAGTAAAATTCTAATTTTTTAAATAAATCTTTATAATATTCTAAATATACAAAATTAATGAAAAAGTCAAAGGTGCGGATCAGTTAATTTAGAAGCAAAAAAAGTACTAAACTAATAAGTCAAGACAAAATTTATAGGAATTAATTACATATATGTTATAAATTTTATAAAGAGTAAAATGATATTTGACCATAATATTTTTTTTTTCGTGAGTCAATATTTGACCATGAGATATAAATAGAAAAGTGACAATCATGCATTAAAGAATGTTTGTCTATGATTTTCTTTAATGACAAAAAAGGATTAAAGATTATTTTAAGCGAAATCTTATTTACTTTAGCATAAATATACAAATTTTTTATAAAAAGAAAATCATAAAAGAGTACTAAAACTTTAGACCAAATATAATATAATATTACTAACTTATTTGGACAAATTCATACTAGACTACTTATAAATTGTTACAAGGCAAAAAACATTGTTTTGTCTTGTAGTTGACTAGGTTCTTTTACTTATAACATCTTCATCAAAGTTATTTCAAAATCATTGTTTTAAAAATTTTTGTTGAGTGAGAAAGTAGCCATGGGAAGAGCTCCTTGTTGTGACAAAGAGAAAGTGAAGAAAGGACCATGGTCTCCCGATGAAGATGCAAAACTCAAGAATTATCTTGAAATTCATGGCACGGTTGAAAATTGGATTTCATTGCCCAAAAAAGCTGGTTTTTATTTTCTCCTTTCAGATTGTTGCATTCTTTTTTAGTTTTTCATTTTCATTAGAAATTTATTTATTAGTAAATCAATAATGAAATAATTAAGTATGGTGAATTTATAATACACAGATCTTAAGAGGTGTGGGAAGAGTTGTCGTCTAAGGTGGCTGAATTATCTTAGGCCAAACATCAAACATGGAGGCTTTACTGAGGAAGAGGACATCACCATTTGCTCTCTCTATTCTCAAATTGGTAGCAGGCAAGTTTTTTCAAATCATTTAATTTAATTCTACTATATTCATTTTATAATTCCAAATTATTATTACTATATACCTTGATGAATTTTATATTTTCTACAAGATTTATTTAATATAATATTATATAGTATAATTGCAACAAATTATTATTCCCTAAGCCTAATAGATCCTCAAATAGAATAAAATAAATCCTCAAATAATTTAAAAATTAAAAAAACTGTAAAAAAAATTGAATTTTTAAATGTGTTTGAATTCTTTATTATAAAAATCATTTATTTTGAATTAAATTTTAAATTAATTTTTTAAAATCAATCTAAACCGAATTAAATCACATTCAAATATTTTAATACTTATTTATTTTGTATTAGTACAATATAGTACGTCATTATTATTGTTCATATTTAATTTATTTTAGTACTGTTTATTAATTTATTTTATCTATTTTTAATATCTTATTTGTTTTGAACATATAATCGATGGTTTTTATTTTTTAATTTTAATTTTTAATATACATACTATAAATTATTTCAAATGTATATATAATAGTAATAAAAAAATATTATAATTTATAATTTTAATATCTAAAAAATGATTTAAATTAAATTGTATGAAATTGAAAATTAAATCAGATCAAATTTTTTAATTAATCATTTAAAATTGAATGAAACTGTAAATAATTTTATCTTTAGATCAGATAATTTTTTCTCTCAAAATCGTTTAAACTGCACCGAAATACTCTTAATAATAAATATATTTTTAAAATTTATTAAATAATTTATATATCTATTCTATTTGCTATAAGTTTTTAATTTTTTTTAATTATCGGTTGATATTATTCTTTATAACTTAGTTAGTTTCGTACTTTAGAGAATAGTACACTTTCAATGGAACATGCCTAAAAGTTTGAATGCTCATGAAATTTTTGATTTTGTGCAGATGGTCTGTCATTGCATCAAAACTACATGGCAGAACAGACAATGATGTGAAAAATTATTGGAACTCAAAACTGAAGAAAAGAATTATGGCAGGAAAAATTAACCTCAAATCATTGTCTGGAAATGACAATACTACCCCTTCAACTACATTAGTGCCTCAAAATTCCATCATCCAAAATTCACAATATTCTCTACCTTCACCATTACCTTCACCATTGCCAACCATGTTAGAAAACAATTTTGATGCTAGTTATGAACTCAACAATGATGATATAAACATCGGTTTGGACCAAATTCTTGAAAAGAACATTGTTGCCTCCGAAATCGGTACAAATAACAACAATGTTGTTAATCCTATGGTGTCCATGTATGAAGACTCTTCGAAGATTACAGTGAACAATAATTGTATATCTATTCAAGATCAAGCTGGTAATGAATCAATGGATCCATTGCTCGATTTCAATTTTGGATTTCATAATGATCGAGAGAGAGTTGTTGATTTTGTTTCAAGTTGTGGCTTTTCGGATTGGGTTGATTTTAGTTATTCTAACATTAAACCAAATTGACTCAATTAAAATGTTTCATTGTTTAGTGCTAGTAAATCACTCGTGAGATTATGAGATAGCAAAATTACAATTATATAGGTGGAATATTTTTAGTTTAAGACTAGTATCGTTTAGTGTTCTTTTAAACGAATCGAAACGAGAAGTGACAAGGATTTAATTTCAATAAGGTATTAATCTATATTTTGTTTACAAAAAGGATAAGATAGTTTATTAGACCAGACTTTGTTATTAAGCAATTTAAAAAGTTGATTTTTAAAGATTACATTATAGATGTTTTTTTATAAGTCTTTGTTTAAGGTTAATGTGTTGCATGAATAATGTTGTTGTGTGGTCCATGAGATTTGTTTTTTTGTTTTTTGTTTGGGAATAAGGATTTTTATATGACATAAGCATTTTTTATGATTTACTTTTTATGAGTGGGTCACGAAATTTGCATGGAGATGTGTCCAATTCAAAACTTGGGTGGAGTTGAATATTTTGTCCTTCTTATCATTCAATAACCATAAAAGATTCTGTCTTTTTTCTCTCACTTCACGCTTCTTGTGCTGCATTTTTAGTACTCACAGTAAATGATTGTTTTTTAGCTCTGAAATAATGAGTTAAAATTCATGGATTATATATGTTGTACCTCAATAAGAAAAAAAAAAGCATATTAGTTAAAACTCAATAAAAACAATACGATAATATTTTAGAGAAATGATATCATTAACACTAACTCTTACACCTATATTTAATATACGGTACATAAATACTTGAACGGTATTTTTATTATTATTTTGATTTTTTGGTTTTTTTATATTTTAAATTACTTTGATTAGTAAAATATTAAAATTTAATTAATACAGTTTAAAGTTTAGTTAATATATATTATGACATTAAAAAAGTTAATACATTTAGTTAATAATTTGTATAAAATTGATTAATACATTTTATAACTTGGTTAATGAGTTCTCAAACACACAAGAATATTAAATAATAAAATAAAATTAGTTAATAGACTATACAAATTGATTAATACCGTTATAATTTAGTGTCAAACATGGTTAATATATACTATATATTTTATTAGTTAATGAAATAGCGAAAATAGTTAATGAATTATAAATAAAATAATTGATTAATGATGAAGTTTTTGTAATTAATATAATTGTGAAGTTGATTAATGACACAACCATATATTTTTGTTATACAATAAATTTTTAAAAAAAATATTTAAAAATATATATATATATATATATATATATATATATATATATATATATATATATATATATATATATATATATATATATATATATATATATATATATATATATATATATATATATATATATATATATATATATATATATATATATATATATATTTTATAAAAATAATATTATTTTAATTTAAATACATTGTTCACCGTATAAATACGGTATATAATATATATGATGTAAATATTTGATGTCAAAATTTGGTGACAAATTAGAATTACTTATATTTAACTACACCTTATTTTACTGTTTATGAATACAATGAAATATTATAATAATAAAATAAATATATTTTTAATTTTAGTTTGATTTTTTTTATATTAAGAGTAATTATATAAAATTATAAAATTAATCAAATTCATAATTTTATTAATTAATATTTTATATTTTATTAACCAACTTTGTTTTACTATTAAAAATTATTTTTAATATGTGAATATTTATTAACCAACTTCATAATTTCATAAATGAATATTTTATATTTCATTAATCAACTTTATTTTATTACTAAAATTATTTTTAGGGTTAAATATATTTTTGATCCTCCTAAATATCTTATATTTAACTTTTAGTTTCTCTAAAATTTTCTTTCAAAGAATGATCTTTCTAAAAATTTTAATTTTAACTTTTGGTCTCCCCTACATCTTAGCGACGATTTTTATAACTTAATGACGATTTTTTACTTAGTGACAGTTTTAACAAAAATTTTGACAGGAGAGACCAAAAGTTAAAATTAAAATTTTTAGAAGGACCATTATTTGAAGGAAATTTTTTAAATGACTAATATAAGATATTTAGGAGGACCAAAAATATATCTAACCCTTATTTTTAATATTTGGGCGTTTATTAACCAACTTGACAACTTCATAACCAACTAGTTACATTTCATTAACCAATTGTGCGTTACTATTAAAAATCATTTTTAATATTTGGGTATTTATTAATCAACTTCATCACACTAGTACAAAAAGATTAATTCACATCCGTTTTAATTAAATTTACATCCATTTAAATTTAATAAAAAACGGGTGTAAATTCATCGAGTGAGAAATATCTAACGAATTTACACCCGTTTAAAAATGAGTGTAAATACATGTTATATTATACTCTTTTTTAATAGAAAACGGATGTAAATATATGTTATGTTACACCATTTTTTTAATAGAAAATGGATGTAAATACATGCTATGTTACACCCTTTTTTAATAAAAATTGGGTTTAAATTCGTTCTTAGTTACACCCTATTTTAATAAAAATCGGGTTGTAAATACGTTCTTAGTTACACCCTATTTTAATAAAAACCGAGTGTAAATACGTTCTTAGTTACATCCTATTTAATAAAAATCGGTTGTAAATACGTTCTTATTTATATCCTATTTTAAGAAAAATCGGGTCTAAATACATGCTAATATACACTCTATTTTAATAAAAATCGGGTGTAAATACATGTTAATTTACATCATTTTTAAATATAATTTACACCCTTTATGAATGAATAAATTATATTATACTGTATTTAATTTCATTTATACCATATTTCATATAATTTATATGCTACATTACACCCTTATTTTAGTTATCACATTTCTTTAGATTTCATATACTAAGAAGTCATAATATTTTAAATACTATAAAGTTGATGAGTAATAAATTATTATAAATTTGAGTGTGAATAATTAGCATTCATCGGCTTAATTCGTATGCTTTTTGTCAATAAACTTCAACTTTGATATATTCGGTATAGTTTACGTTATAGTGTATATATTATGTTAGCATGTAAATATTATTGAGTTTAATTGTTTTTATCTCATTTTTGTAGGTATTCAAGCATAGCTATTTAGTCATTGTTAGAGAGATCATTGAATAAACTTTCTAACGCTTCAAACCGTGCGCAAATTGGAGTTACGGTTCTCAAGTTATGACAAAAACAATGTTGATTTTTCCAATTTACTGACAAGCTGGTCCCGAGCTCTCCGGGCAACACGGAGGCGAGCTAGAACACCTAGAAGCATGAAAAAAAAAGCTTTTTTGAGCCCCAGGCTCGCCAAGCGAGACTGTCTGGGTAGAGTTTCATTATAAAGGGGCAAAAACATATTTTTAGGTTATGTTTTAGGGAATTTGTTCCCAATTCATCAACCAACATTTTTTTGGGTCTTTAGAGCTTAGAAAAGCATCAATGGAGGTTGCAACTCGATGATTGGGGGTGGATGATTCTTGGATCGTGATTGACACCGCGAGAGATTTTGATTCCTCTTCTCTCTTTCCTTTGTAGTTTCTATTTGTTGTGAGTTTATATGTAAGTTTATCTTGATTATATGTATATTTATTGCTCATCGTGTTGTATGAAACTCATTTTACAAATCAATGTTGATGATTGCTTTCTTTATTTGGGTTGATGCAGAAATGGACGGTTTGAATCCAAATTTATGATAAACATCTATTGGGTCTTAATTCTAGAGATAGATTAAGGCTTAATTCGGAGCTTAATGCTTTCCTGTTGTTTGTGTTGCGCTGAGAGATCGCTTACGCGAGTAATACGGTCATTGTCTCACTCTGTGTTAGAGATAAATTCTGTGTGAGAGATACGTGGTAATATTGACGAGTGATTTAGGTTTAGTACAACTGAGTAATAAGTTTAAATATTTGATATGGTAGATGAAATGCAAACCCGAGAGTTCTCTACTCTCTGAAGAATGTATTTATTTTCTGTTCATTAGTTTTAATTCCTGCATTTACTTTAAACTCATTTTAGTCCAAACTCATAAACGCGAGACTTGTCGAACGACAATTGAGTAGCACTAATCTCTGTGGAGACGATATGATATAACCTATAAAAATACGTACTTTTACTTGCCGCTTTACCGCTTCAACAAAAGTCGTACACATAAAAATCATATTTCATATACTAAGTCATTATATTTTTTGTATTTACCAAAAAGTATATAAAATCATATTTTTGTACTAAGAAGTCATAATATTAATAACAAAATATTCAACCAATTCATAATATTTCATGTCACTTTCTTCGTATATAAATTTTCTTCTTCTTCTTTCGCTTTTGTTTTGGCAACATTTCTATGTCCTTATCCTTTTCAATCATTTATATTTGGTCTTGTAGATTTTACTCCTCAACCTTTTAATTTTCAATCATTTGCAAAAAAACTTAGAGTTTAAAGTTGTCGAATATGGTTTACGGTCTCTTTTTAATAGAATGACGTGTCTATAAATATCTACAAATTTAACGTACAATAAATTAAACATCTACATATAAAAACAATAATTTACATGTTTTTCAATAAATATATGCGATACGAAAATATTTTGTTCCAAGTTAAAGATCATGTGTAATTAGCATAGCATAATGAATGTTACACTTGAAGATGATATAATCCAAGTTGAACTGTATAAAACCCATCAATTAAACCATTAACATCATGAGCATCAAACAATTAGAATTCAATTTGTTTTATCTAACAGTATATTTTCAAAATCCAGAATAAATCCATATCATAAACATATTTTCAAATCAACACAAACACCCTACAGAAGTGTTACAGAGAAGACAATTCAATTTACCAGCACCAATGCTTTTTCTGGAAGACCTCCTTTATTTCCTTAGAAGTTTTCATGTAAGCAACATTTTGGATTGCATTGTCAAATGCTGGTGAATTATTACCCAGATGATCTGAGAACTGCAAAAGTAAATAAGCTAACTTTCTTTTGTAAAACAAACTTATTGAT